CCAAATTACTTAATTTTACTATAATCAAATAATTTACTTTTATAAAACAATATAAGTTGTATATTTTCGATACACAATAATGCTCCTAAAATATTAGGGCATTCACATGTCGCTGCTCCACGAAAATTTTTCCGCCGAAATATTAGTCGCTAGCCGAACATAACGGAGAGACGCAAAAAAAAATAACGCACCGGCCGAAATTTGTCTCTGCGAGCACGGAGTGCAGGCAGATTATAAGACAAGAAAGAGAGGGAAATATCCGAGTATCTGCCTCTCTTTGTTGCACGATCGTTTTCGTGCTGCGCCGACTGCTCTGCTGACGTCAACAGCGGCACAGCGTTTTAGGCACAAAAAAAAAACAAAAAAAGCTTTTTGCCTTGAGCCATGTCACCGCGTCCCTACTGCAGAACTGAAGGGTATCGATTGACCCGAAACAAAGTTTGCCACGCCCACTCTAACGCCCATAACGCTTAAATCTGTCTACCGCCCACATAACCATAAATAGAGATCGCTTGTAGGTGGCGCATTTCAATCTCTCTTTGATGCTTGCATATCTCCATATTCCTTTTGTCCCTTTACCTGAGTAACGGATATCGGCTAGTCGAGGTACTCTACTATAGCATTCTTCCTTGTTTTATATATTCTCAAGTTAAGCCCGAATGTTCTCAAACTGACCCAGACCTAAGGTTTTGTTCAAATTTTATGAACGAGATTTCAAGAATTGTCAACAAACGGGCTAACGCACTTTTTGACCCCGTTTCGGCTTGATTTTTAAACATTTCAAACGAGTTTTTACCCGGGTGTACGAAAATTAGTCTCTCAGTTTTAAAGCTATCGGGATGAAGCCTTCCCTAAAGTCTTATTTCTATTGCAGGTAGTAAATAAGTCGGAAGCTTTCATAGAAGTAATCAAAAACATATTTTTTTTAAATGTAAAAAAATTATAATTTCGGTTTTTTTTTTAAATATTATTTTTTAATCTTGGGAATATCATTATTTTACTATTTCAGGATTTCGAATAAAATTTTAAGAAATCGGACGACTTTATCATATGTGTAGCTGCCATAATTTAGATAATTATTGTCTAAACAATACCAAGCCGGTAAATTTCGTTTTCGGTAAACATATACTATAATAAACCGAAATGGAACATAACCTTAATATTTCTGTAATAAGTTCCGAGCATACAACGCTTCCACGGGAGCGACCTGAAGGGCATAGAAAGTTCGGTTTGCCGATGCTAGCTTCCTTTCTCGTTTAATTTTCGTTTCCACACCGCTTCTGCTTGAACACAGCCAAAGATAAAATTTTTTATTTTTACGAAATCTGTTATTTTTTCTGGAATTTCCTTAGCTTATCTGAGTACCACGGTGAAAAACGGACTCGACGAAAAGCGTTAGGCTCCTATTTGCATCTCGCTCTCTCCTATGGTTATCTCACGGTTTTCGTCGACGTGTGTACTAGGCCTTAATGTAAAATTTAATTTTCTAAAAACAATGGTAGTGGTCCAGAAGGGCTTCTCGCCAAAAATCCATGCACGTAAAATTGGCGGGTAAAACCTTAACGGCGTTGTAAATCTTTCTGTTTTCTTATTAGTCTACTCTCGAATGGGGGAACTCATGCCCGTGTGTCCAATGCTATCTTTTGCGAATTTTTTAAGTGCATTTCAATTTAAAAGTGGTCATCTTAAAGTAAATTAACTTATACCAATTTCATTTTAAAAGCTGGGTAAGGGGTATCTGATAGTCAAAACTCTCGACTATAGCGTTATCTCTTGTTATACCCGTTACTCGTAGAGTATATTGTATTCGAGGAAAAGTATATAACAGGTATTAGAAGCGTTTCCGATCCCATAAAGTATATGTATATATTCTTGATCAGGATCACTAGCAAGGTCGATCTAGCCGTGTCCGTCTGTCCGTGTGAACTCTTTAATCTCGGAAACTATAAGAGCAAGAATGGGGGGATTTGGCATGTACATAGATTCTTGGGCTTCCTGCGCAAGTTTGATTCAGCATGGTGCTTAACGCTGACACCCGTCTAGCACCCACACTTTATAATAATAGGTAAAAATGTTGTTCTTATTATCAACACGCCAAAAATTGTTCAAAATCGAATATTCATTAAAAAGTTATATCCAAACAATAATAAACTCATAGCAAACTCAATAGAGTGCGAGAGGAATTAAGATATATTTTTAAAGAAAATCGACTGCTTACGAAATTTTACTAGCACCACCTAGGTTTCACGTTATGTGGCGTATTAGTGAAATCTTGTAAACAGCCGATAGGAATGAATAGGTGGAGCTTTTTGTTAGCTGAGTAACGGGTATCTAATAGTCGAGGCCGTCGACTATATGGTTTTCTATTGTTTTTTCTTTGCTTATTTCGTGGGTGAGTTCCTAGGAGATTTTTTGAATTCAGCTTTTGAAAATAACACTTATTTTTGGGCCTTGGACGAAAATAAATACATTTTAGTTTAAGTAGTTATTCTAGCATCAAAAGTGTAGGCTTTAGTGTATTTTGCACATTTTGTGGGTGCGGCCACTTGTGTGGACTTGGCACATTGGTTAAATAAACATGCGATGCGTAAGAATCTCTAGAATCTGCTTTATTGGTCTTAAATTTTTTACATTTCCTAACTTCCTATTGCAATACGATACTACATCGCAAAGTTGTACAATTTAAATGAATTTCAGGCCATTTTCAAAATAAGATTTAAAAGTGTGTTTGTCGGTTTGCGTTGTTTTTTGTGTAACGGTTCAGTAATTTTTTTTGGGGCATTGTACGATTTAGCTAAAAACATTTAAAATTTTTTCATTAGTATATCGGAAAACTAGGGTCTATATTGCTTGCCCAGGCGTGCAGTCCGCCAATTAGGTCTCGCACGAAGTGCGTTGGAAATCGATTGCGCACATGCTGAACGGCGATCTGTGAGTCATTTCCACGCCGGCAAAGCAAAACAATAGGCAGCGCCTTGTCCTCCAGATGATTGGAAAATCGCTTCAAGTAGCCATCGTCCAGGATTTCGACCAATGGCACATTGACAGACTTAGGCAGTTGGCATATCTCAAACTCGGCCGTTGGCCTTACATCGATTAACAGATGGGGTTGTGCTTGGAGCTTCTCTCGATACTCTTCCACGGACATGCGCTCATCCGCCGCAAGCATTTGCATGGGATTGTTCTTATCGGTGGCATGCATGCCACAAAAAATTTCATAGTCAATTAACTCGGTAATTATCGGCTGAGCAGAACACACATGACAGTTGGGTCGCTTGCTGCGAATGCGAACGTTTCGGAACGTGCCGCTGCTGCCATCGAAGATGAGCAGGCGACCGGCTAGGACATCGCCCAGTCCCACAATAACCTTTATAGCCTCCAGAGCCTGCATTGCACCAATGGTACCGGTGACAGCGCCCAGGACTCCACCATCGCCACAATTTGTAACCGCTTCCGGCGGCGGAGGCACTGGGTATATGCACCTGTAACAAGGTCCGTTTCCATAGCTGTAAACAGTGAGCTGACCATCCATTTTCAGGGCACTCCCGGAGACGAGGGGTTTCCTCAGCATCACGCATGCATCACTAAGTAGATAACGCGTAGGCAAATTGTCGCTGCAGTCTAGGACCACATCATAGCCACGGAGGATGTGCATTGCGTTTTGACTATACAATAGCCTCGAATGGCAACGTATCTCGCAGTTTGGATTTAGCTCCAGCAGGGCTATCCTTGCCGATTCTGCTTTGGACATACCACACCGAGCCTCAGAATGCAAAATCTGGCGGTGGAAGTTGCTCCGCTCCACGTCATCGTAGTCTATGAGTCCCAAGTTTCCACAGCCAGCTGCCGCAAGATATTGTGCCGCCGGACAGCCCAATCCGCCAAGGCCCACAATCAGCACAGAGCTGTTTTTCAGCTTCAGTTGACCTTGGACCCCAAAACTCGGCAGTATGAGTTGCCGGCTATACCGGGCTACGTCATCTTTGTTCAACTTGGTGTGGGCGGACTCCCCTTGCGATTTCATAGCATTACCTTCGGACTGATTCTGTGCTCTTGCAGCGGCGGTTACCGTGGAGCTCAGGTCCCGCAGACATTGCTCTTTCCTGTTGAGTGCTGCCCGCAGTTCGGAGATTTCCCTCTCTAGCTTGGTCCGTTCGGAATCTGCCTCGGATTTGATCATTGAAGTGCGGGGAAAGTTGGTTACTAGTGGATGATAGAATCTTTGTTGGTATGTGTTACTGTAAGGATTGACAACTTCTTTGGCTCTCTCGTATGAGCGCGTAAATGTTACAGACAGTGTGTGGCCAGTTTCAACTTGAAAAATTTGTATTAAAATATAACATAATAATGAATTGGCGTGTTGTAGTAGAGCCTGGACGATACATCGATGTATCGTCGATCTATCGATATTCCAGACAAAATAGCAAACATCGATTCGATATTTTTAACAGCGTTCTCAACATCGATGTATCTGCCCAGCATCGTTATTTTCTTTTTTTTCTTCTCTAATTGCATATTTAGAAACTGAGACTAAACTGTAAGTACAACGCTTAATTCTTAATTTAACATAGACTTCTTTAACAGATAGTTTTTTGCATACTTTTAACGCCGACGAAGCAGCAAAAGCTTTAAAAGATGATATAACAGAGTGTTTATCCTCAAAAGTTTTACAAAAGCCTCTAAGACCACCTGAACTACCAAAACGTTCGCGCTTTGAATTTTTTAAAAACAAAATTGCGGCCAAGCCATCTTCCCACAGATCTGATTCCATTATCATGCTAAAGCCTAGTACTCACATCGACGAAAACCGCGAGCTAACCATAGGAGTGAGCGAGAGGCAAACAGGCGGCGCTTTTCGTCGGGTCTGTTTTTCAGTGCGGTACTCAGATGACCTAAGGAAATACCAGAAAAAATACCAGATTTTCCGAGTGAATTTTCGATGAACGCCGTTAGCCGCGGCCCAAAGAATAAGAAATTTAATCTGTTCGTGCAAAGGCGATGTGGAAACTAAAAATTAAAAATGGAAGGAAAACCCCAAAATCGGATGCAGGAGGTCAGTGCAGATGAAATAGGACGCCAATTCCAAGCTTTTGCCCTTTATTGTGGGATTTCACCGACAGGAAGCAATTCCACAAAAGGGGCAAATTCGCAAAATAGTTAAAGTGCTGGATGAGATCCACAAGAGAATCCCAGTGGGAAGGAACATGCCGAGTGGGACTTCGATCTCTACATGGACATCCTGACGGCCGCGTCCTTGCAAAGAAAGTAAGATCTGGCCAAAAGAATTTTTTTGCCTTGTACTAATAGAAGTATCTTTTTGGCAGAACAACCTGTAATACGATCTCCGACGACCTCTTCACTAGGACTCCGGATACAACCACCACCAGCTGATTGGCAGCTTAAGCGGAGCTGGGAACAGTTGGAGAAGCCATAGCCAGCCACAGCCAGGATGCTGGGTGACTTCCGGCAGCAGCGGATCAGCCCCGTTCTCCCACTTCCTCAAGGTCAAATATGCCTATAGCGACTCGTAGGTGTACTGCGGTGGAGCGGGAAAGATTTCAAACCATTCGTGGGACGAGATAGAAGCTTTAAACTACTAATTTACATAAATAAAAACATTCGTCAAACATTCCATTCGCCTGCAACGTCTTGCGGCTCAGAAAGGATCGCAGATATTCACTTAAACCATCCATAATCAGCAAAATACTTTTCTTGAGCAAGATCTACGATCTCATAGATTGGTTTATAAAAAGACGAAATGTACCAAATTTGTAAGTGTTTCTTTTTTTTAATTTGACTTAAGGAACGCTAGGAAAATTTTACTCCAAAAGCTTCGATGTATCGATGTTATTTTGTTCAAAACATGGGGATCATAGATGTTACCCAACATAGATGTTTTCCAAGCTATGTGTTGTAGACGATTTGCAGACTATCGGCAGCCAATGATTCGCGAAGATGAGTTATCGATGTTAGTGCATAAGTACACGATTATTGCTTTACATTGTTCGCTGAAGCGAACAGCTAACGGCACAAGCAAACCGTATCCGAACGGAGAGGACGGCCATTTTAGTTGCTCCGAAGAAGATGAAAAACAACGCAAAACTAAATACAATTTGAGCGCTAGCATGTAGAATGTTTTGATGACATAACAAGTATTTTAAGGTCCATTATTTATTGTTTATTAAACTGTAAAATACCCATAGAATCATGTAACACCGAACCAAAAGAAGTCAAGCAAAGTCGCAAATTTCAACGCTTTCGACACTATGCGATAAACTGCAACATTCCAAAAGCGACTAAAACAAAAACCGAGGCAACATTTTTTTTTTTAAATAGAAATTTATTAACTGCAACTTTAACAAGAGAGAATGCTGAAGTTGATGCCATCAACTATATATTCCGTAACTCAGCTGAGGGAAGTGCGAGGGAGACGGAGATATGCAAGCAGCTAGCGACTGCTCCCAAGACACACATTTTATAACTTTGCTTGCCTTTAGATTTTTAATGAATGGTCCGATTGTAAAATTCTTGACATGTAGAAGAACATTGATAATCAAAACAATATCCTATTTACCTTAGTCGATGCTGTGGAATATTTGGTCCTTGTGGCTGATGCGCCATCTGTCTGAACACACTAAGGTGAAATCGGGTTAAGGGGGGAAATACAATTAAAAGGCATAAAATGAGGCCTATCTTTGGGAGTGGATCGCAAGTAGGGAATTAAATGAATCTTAGCGATTCTTTTTGCATGTTATTAGGAAATTATTGGGCAATGAAAATCAGTCAAGTTTTTTAAAAAATATTGTAATTAAGCCCATTTATGATCAATAATGTGGAGTCGTGTTTTGAGGGATGAACTTTGCGCCGTGCAGTCTCCTGGCCCAGGATCACGTCTAAATCAAAAAACAGCAACTGGGCATTAATCTTAGAGGTACAGCGCACAACATGAATTATTTCATATGTAAAAAAATGGTTTTTCCATGAAAAAATGTGAAGTTGGAAAAAAAATTTTCAAAAAACACACTTTTTTTTCGACTTTGTTCGTAAAAAAAACATGTTATAACAAACAAATATGAAAAATCCTTTTATTCATGTTGTGGAAAATTTCATTTCAAACATAAAGCAAAAAACCGCATTTGATTAAAATGAAATCTCTGACCTGTACATTGCACGCCCTTCAGTTCAAAAAAAAAAGTTTCACTTGTGAATCACCTTGGGAATCACCTGGGACATGTCCTCGTGCACAAGTGAAGAACAAGTGACGCTCCATATAGAAAATTGTATGGGATGTCCGCATTTTCACAAGTGAAAATTCAAATGAAAATTTTTCGAAGTCCTACGGGATTCCACTTGTTCCTTATACTCATTTTTCGTATGGCCTGTCACGTGCCGGTGACTCGTCCCAAGTGAATCACTTGGGAAAATCAGAATTTTTCCTTGAGTTTTCACTTGTGAAATCACTTGCAAGGGACACGTCCCAAGTGAAACACTTGGGAAAATCAGAATTTTTCCTTGAGTTTTCACTTGTGAAATCACTTGCAAGGGACACGTCCCAAGTGAATCACTTGTGAAAATCAGAATTTTTTCTTGAGTTTTCAATTAAAAAAATATAGAATTTAATTCATTTCATTTTAATTATATGGTACTATTTAGATTTTCAAAAATTGTACAATTATTGTTTCTGTTTTTTTGCTTCGTAAGCTTATTTTTAACGTTAGACATCGCCGTTCTTAAACCTTTGTCCGGGTCCTCTGAATCCTTGGCCAACGCTCCTGAAAAAACATATGTTTAAAAAATGCGTTTTATTTGCTTAATTGTATATTTACCTTTTATAGCTTGTTGCAGAATTTTTATTGGCACAAAACATTTCGTCATCCACTTTCGGCTAACGGAACCCATTGAATACCTTCAAAATTTACGTACTTTAAACTAAGATCAATGCACAACATCTTAAACTTAATGTAGCACTTACCTGACTTTATTATATTAACTAAACGATTAAAGTAACTCTGCTGCGCACCATTAAAATGGATGCTTCCCTTTCAATCACTCAAACAGAATGCACCAAGTCTTCTCACCCCTTTACTAGATTTCTTTTGTTTTCTCTTCGCTGTTGGCGCGTGCCACTGCACCTATACCCTTTCTAAAGTGAAATATATCCGACTATATAGTTTTTACTTCTTGAGTAAAAAATACAATACGATTTTTTTTTTAAATGTTAATACTTAAATGTTTTAAATACTTAAATCAATTTTAACGGACTAAATTTCTATAACTTAACTAAAAAATTATATTGTAATAAAAATGTATAATAAGTAAATATAACATTATAAGTAAATTCAATATACTAAATTTTACTATAATCAAATAGTTTACTTTTATAAAACAATATTAGTTGTTTTTTTCGATACACAATAATGCTCCTAAAATATTAGGGCATTCACATGTCGCTGCTCCACGAAAATTTTTCCGCCGAAATATTAGTCGCTAGCCGAACATAACGGAGAGACGCAAAAAAAATAACGGACCAGCCGAAATTTGTCTCTGCGAGCGCGGAGTGCAGGCAGATTATAAGACAAGAAAGAGTGGGAAATATCCGAATATCTGCCTCTCTTTGTTGCACGATCGTTTTCGTGGGCAGTCTTCTACGCTGCGCCGACTGCTCTGCTGACGTCAACAGCGGCACAGCGTTTTAGGCACAACAAAAAACAAAAAAAGCTTTTTGCCTTGAGCCATGTCCACCGCGTCCCTACTGCAGAACTGAAGGGATATTACTCCAACACATGATAACAAACTCATATTAAAAAGATACTCATTCGCCGAAGACTTCCAAGTTTTCCCAAAACACAAACGTTGTAGGGAGTCCTAAAACTACTCATAAATATGAAGACTGGAGAGCGCCAAGCAACAGCGGAGAAGGCGAGACTGGAAAAAAGGAGGGACACGAACGGAAGGAGAAGGAGCTGACGATTTGTCCCAATCGGGTATCTTGCATTTTCGTGGGTCACGGGCTGCTATGCAACATAAATATAAAACAATATCTCTGGGTTAGTCGCGTCGTTTAAGTAGAGCGTAAAACGGTCGAAAACAGTTCGTTACATCATAATTTAAAAACAAGGAAGAACGCTATAGTCGAGTACCTCGACTATCAGATACCCGTTACTCAGATAACAAACTTTAAAATAAGATAGCCGCGCACTTTGTTCTCTCTCCCTTGCTCTCATTTCTCGGCTCTGCTTTTGTTTCAGCCAGCACAAAAAATGAGAAAGCAACACATAAAATAGACAAAAAACATTTATATTTATGTATGCTTGCTAAACATACAGAATTTTAATATTTGGTTGAATAGCTTTGTTTGAAAGAATTCTATTTGCCGCGGATATTAGATTGCAATTTTTTACGTCCACACACATGCATAAATACATATGTATGTATGTCAAGGCTTGTCCTAACTACTTTGGTTTGAGAGCATTGGACTGAAAACGGAAAAGTTTTTTTGGGACAATCTATAGGTATTTATTAAGCTAATTCATATTCTTTGAAAGAGATAAATAAAGATGTACAGATCTTTAAAGGTTTTTGCCCGTCAATGGGACAAATGGATAAAGGGTTCATTATTCAATAGAATAAGTTAGCCGCGCACTTTGCTCTCTCTGAGCGCCGGCAGGGCTTTTTTCTTTGCCGCTAAGTTCGGCCGGCAACTATTTTCATACACACACATACACGCGTAAAAACATTTCGCATTGTCTGGCTCTGACGTCATAGCTTTTTTCTTTGGAGGTTTGTGGGCGTTAGAGTGGGCGTAGCAAAATTTTTTGGTCAATCGATAGGTATTGAGTTAAAATTAAAATTTTCTATCTAGCATCAAAACTGTAGGAGTTACGTGGCAGTCTACTGAAACAAACTTGCGCTGCGTAAGAAGCTCAGGAATCTGTACGCCAAATCTCAATAGCCTAGCTCTCATAGTTTCCGAGATCTCAGCGTTCATCCGGACAGACGGACATGGCTAGATCGACTCGGCTAGTGATCCTGATCAAGAATATATATACTTTATGGGGTCGGAAACGCTTCCTTCTGCCTGTTACATACTTTCCGACGAATCTAGTATACCCTTTTACTCTACGAGTAACGGGTATAATAATAACAAGAAAAGACTGCTTTGATTTTGATTTAATATAAACTGCTTTAATTAATTCTGGGGAAGCCCATGGAGGTCCCACGTCAAAATTTGTAGGGTTCAACAAGGATTATGTTTAGAACATTATACTAATTTTTTATAAAAATTAAAAATGCCGATTTGCAGAAAACCGCGATTGAACATTTTTTTTTTAAGTTTGGACTATAATTTGTTTGGAAACTGTTATGGGAGTTATTTTTATCTGAAAGGTTGGCAAAAATAATAATTAAGGAGAATTTTTGTTTATTTTTTACACCGTGTAATTTAAAGTTATACACAATCTTAACAAAAAAATGGCATCGCCATATCTTTGCTTCTGTCAAATGAATAAATTTTTTTAATATTTTTAAAATCCTGTATAAATGGTAAAATATCGTGATAAAAATATGAAACCGTTTTGAGACCATAAAGAAAATCTCGATACGTTTCACAAAGAATCACTCATATACATATGTATACCACCAAAATGCACCAAATTGGTGCACATTTCTCATTTTCAGTGCGAGGGTTAGAGCAGACTAGCAACAACAATTCTGAGAAGCGCATAACAATCGAAAAGAAGAACAGTTATTCTCGGAAGATGGAAAAAGG